CTCTCGGGGAACGACGACGGCGACAACGACGACGGCGACGGCGACGGCGACGACGGCGACGGCGACGGCAAAAGGCGACGGCGGCTGCGGCGACGACGGCGACGACGGCGACGGCGACGGCGACGGCGACGGCGACGGCGAAGACGACGGCGACGGCGACGACGACGGCGACGGCAAAAGGCGACAGCGAAAGGCGACGGCGACGGCGACGGCGAAGACGACTACGACGGCGACGGCGAAGGCGACGGCGACGGCGACGGCAAAAGGCGACGGCGACGGCGACGGCAACTGCGACGGCGACGGCGACAGCGACGGCAAGGGCGACGGCGGCGGTGGCGACGGCGACGGCGACGGCGACGGCGGCTGCGGCGGCGGCGGAGACGAGGCGGAGGGGGGGGGAGGAGAAGGACGAAGGGAAGGAGGACGAGAAAAACATGCGGAGAGAGGAGGGAGAGGAAATGGCCAACAAAACCAGATGAGCGACGATCCAAAGCGGGCCTTACGCGAGCTGGCACGGCGCCCTTACGCCGCATCGTACGCGGGTCGCCAGCGCGGCGCGCTGCATCTCATCGGAGGCGAGGGCGCTTACGCGCTACCTTACGCGGGCAGCTTGCGCGATCACGTCGGCAAGGACGGCCCCGCTCTTTGCGTCGCTCGGATCGTGGAATGAACATGAGAGGAGACAGCCAACGGGTGAGGAAACGATCGGCGAGAGCGCAGCACGGTGAACAACTCGTTCGGCCCATGGGGCCACCAAGCCTGCAAGCCTGACAGCCCTTGGCCATGTGATGTGAGCCACCCCGGGGAAGCAGTACAGAGAGAGGGAGAAGGAGAGAAACTGTGAGAAAAAAGAGAGAGAGACTCATAGGGAGAGAGAGAGAGAGAGAAACAAAAAAAAGATAGAGAGAGGGAGAACAAAATAGCGGCCCAGCGGGATCGGTTCGAGCGGTCCAGATGCAGATCACCACGGCTGACAGGGTGCAGTAAGCCACTGCGAACCCCAGAGCAACGCCGGACGTGAAAGACACGGAAGCAGAGGAGCGCGCCGTGAAACGAGTAGGCCAGCAGCGGTGAATTTCGAGGTCCGCGGGGTGCCTCGTGGACGCCCCTCGGAGCCATATCCCATATCAGAGCCCTTGAAGGTCTCTCTCTCTCTCTCTCTATCTCTCTCTGGGCTCTCGCGAGGCTCGACTAACGGCGAACTCGAAGTCGGAGATCGCGCGTCTCTGCTGCTCCTCCTCCTCCTCCTCCTCCTCCTCCTCCTCCTCCTTCTCCTCCTCCTCCTCCTCCTCCTCCTCCCCTCCTCCTCCTCCTCCATCCCTCTCCTGCTCCTCCTCCTTCTCCTCCTCCTCCTCCTCCTCCTCCTCCTCCCAACTCCTCCTCCTCATCATCATCATCATCCTCCTCTCCTTCTCCTCCTCCTCCTCCTCATCCTCCTCCTCCTCCTCCCCTCCTCCTCCCCCATCCTTCCTCCTCCTCCTCCTCCTCCTCCTCCTCCTCCTCCTCCTCCTCCCTCCTGCTCCTTCCTCCTCCTCCTCCGCCTCCTCCTCCTCCTCCCTCCTCCTCCTCCTCCTCCTCCTCCTCCTCCTGCTCCTCCAGACGAGCGGGGGGTGCCCGTCCAGCAGCTGGAGCGGGACGCTCAGCAGGCCCGCGGCGGCTCCACGGGTGTTGCTGAGATGCCCTGCAGGCCGCTGCCGGCGACGCCTGCCGTCCAGGGGACGGCCGAGAAGCGGCCAGCGAGCAATGCCGCAGGCGGTGCCTGAGGCATCCGCACGAGGCGCCGATGCACGGGAAACTCTGGGAGGAGGAAAAGGTATCCATACCACTACCCTTGCCTCCTTTTCCTCATTTTGGGCCTCCTGGGAGACCTTTTCGTCGCTGAGCTGGATTCGCCTCGAAATCCTGGTCAGCAAACACCCTGGGAGAGGTCCGGGGAGTAGCGGTATCTGTACATTTTGGCGTCCCACAACTCAGCGTCTTGCTCGTATGTGGGCGCGTCAGCCAGGCACGATAACGCGTCTCTCTCACGCACACTGGTACACACACACACACACACACACACACACACACGCGCGCACGCACGCGCGCACGCACGCACGCACGCACGCACGCACGCACGCACGCACGCACGCACGCACGCACGCACGCACGCCGCACGCACGCACACACACACACACACACACACACACACACACACACACACACACAACACACACACACACACACAAACAACAACAACAACAAAAAATGCGCAACAGCTGGCGCACGATGACGTGGCTCACGCCATGCTGGCCATCCAGATCGAGGCCCCGAAGAACACCGAAGAACACCACGATTGCCGCCTGCGTCCACCAGAGTCAAGAAGCGGACGCCGCCCCCGCCGACCCCTAGGGCGACTTGGCGGCTTTCCTATGGACTTCCTAGTGCTTCTTTGGGGCCTTTGGGAGCCTTTCTGGTACTCTTGGGACGCATACTGGTTGTCTCGGGGCTCATCTTGGGGCGGGAGGCTCCCTCGTACCAGTTCGCGTTTTCCCTTCTGGGGGACGTCTTGAGACTGTCCCGCGGGCCTCTTGGGCCGGTGTCGGATGCTGTCCGCACAAAACAGCAACTGGATGCACATCCACGAGAATCTAAGAAAAAAATCGTCCTCCCAAGGCCTTCCGCCGGGGACTCAAAGACGGCCCGAGAGACCCACATGGAGGGCCCTAGCACGAGCCCCAGAACCATCCCAGGGCCCGTTGAAGGGTGAGGCCTCGAACCGCGATCCCAGGGCCTCAGCAGAAGTCACGCGGAGCAGCCAGGGGAGGGGGGCCGAGCATTTCGTCGGTTGGTCGTGCGGGAACGTAACCAAGGCGAGATTGAAGACTCTCAGGGCCCTGATGACACTCCACTCGATACCTGCGGCGCGGTGGCAGGCATGGATACGTGGATGTGTGTAGACGTCGGTGCGGGCGTGCAGACAGACGAATTTGAACGTGTAGTTGTGAAGTAGTTGATACATGTGGGCGTGCCCATGTACGTGCTGAAGTGCGTACGGCATGTCTGAGTGCAAACATGTAAATGCATGCATACACACACACACACACAAACGCACGCACGCGCGCACGCACGCACGCACGCAATCTCTCTCTCTCTCTCTCTCTCTCTCTCACACACACACCAACAACAACAACCACAACAACAACAACAACAGCAGCAACAACAACAGCAACAACCACAACAACAACAACAACAACAACAACAACAGCAACAGCAGCAGCAACAACAACAACAACAACAACAACAATCATTTTACCCGAACGCTCAGTGTTCTCCCCAGTGCCAGGGTTTTCATGCGACGCCAGCCAATACCCCCACTTCGTGGGGGGCAATGCAAGCTCTACCAAACATCCACACGACTCTCGGGAACCACCCACACCCAGCTTCCCGCCCTATGACGTCAGGACACTTCACTTCGTGGCGCGCGGACGATCGTGGATACTACACTGGCGTGGAGTACACACCCGCAGAGGTTGATCACTTGTTTGGGCCCCGCATGTGCCCCGCATGGTGCATTTGTTGCGTATGACATACATAGTACAGAGAGACAGAGAGAGAGAGAGAGAGAGAGCAAGACAGAGAGCCAGTGGAGAGAGAGATAGAAAGAGATTCGCCTCATGGGCGCCTCTTGGGGCCATCTTGAGCGCCTCTTGGGGCCATCTTGGGTTTTAAAGATTCATGAAGAGCCCGCGGGTGGATTTTGATATTTTTCGGATGAGAAAGTCTTGCGTTTGCATATGTTTTCGGAACATCGCATCTTGAAATTATTGAAATCACATTATGTTTGGCAGGATTTCGGCACGCGCGCGCGGCGGCCGCGCGCATGTGCACTTCGTGTCATTTTTTGCAAGGGATGGTGGCCCTCGTAGGCTCGCAACCGTTGTTGCAGAAGGTCGAAGCACCTGAAAAGGTTCCTCGCAAAGGCCCTTTTAACAGAAATGTTTAAAATCTGGTGGGTTTCCTAGGAATCCGCAAGAGCGCGCGGAAGGACATTTTGACAATTTTTTCTGAGAAAACCATTGGGTTTTTGATGTTTTTATGTTAAAATCGCTACGAAACCTAAGGTTTTGGAAGGATTTCGTCTTGCGCGCACGAATGTCCACTTTACCTTATTTTTTGCAAGGGATTCTTGCAATTTGATCAAGTAAGAACAAGAATTTTCATTTTCTATTGTTTTTTGCAAGGGAAAACGAGCGTCAACAAAAAACCGGATCCGGAGCTCATCCACTTTTCTGAAGCTTTCGCGAAAAAATGATGAAAATGTAGCTGCGGCCTAGGCGCGGCGCAGAGGTCGCGCACCAGGGGTCCCAACAATAATAATTCTTTAGAAGGAATAATGTTCAACAACAACAACAACAACAACTTCAACAACAAGAAGAAGTACTCGTGTTTGCGTGGTTGCACACGACAATGCTTATATCCGCGCTTACTCCTATGTATGTGCATGCAGTGGTGAGTATGTGGTTGGGCATGCTTGTGGACAGGAGGGAGGGAGGAGGGCGGCCGAGGTTTGGGAGAGGGCGGCAGGCGCCCGCCTCGGTCGATGGCCGTGTAGACGGTCTCGCCGCGAGCCTGTTCGGCATCACATCGGGTCCGCAACGCCTCTCTCCTAGCCCTCTCGTCCCTCTCCCCCTCGCCCTCATCCATCCTCAGTCTCTCTCTCTCTCTCTCTCTTTCTCTCTCGCTCGCTCTCTCTCTCTCTCTCTTTCTTTGTTTCTGTATCCCTCTCTCTTTCTCTCTCCCTCTCTCTCTCTCTCTGTCTCTGTCTTGTTCTCTCTCTCTCTCTCTCTCTCTCTCTCTCTCCCTCTCTATATATGTATGTATAGGCATGCATGTATGCAATAATGCATGCATGCATGCATGTCTGACTATAGGCATGTAGAACTGTATCCATGTACGCCAGCGTACATGTATATGAATGCACCTGTAGATGCATGTGTACACATATATGTGTGTGTGTG